CCACCCTCTACTTATCATTCTAAATTAACTTAAATAGTGTGGTTGCTACAGCTTAGTTTATTCCATGGTGTATTTACAGTTATGCAACAGTGACATTCACAATAACAGGCACTTGATTTGTGTATGTATAAAATGCTTATATTAATATTTTTTCCTTAATTCCTTTTACGTCTTTCAGTATCACAGCCTTTACTAATCCTAATGTTATCATAATCATCTATATATATATATAAAGTGCTCATGTTATATACGTTTGTTAAATATGTGTGATAAATTGGTGCTGAGCAAGCTCTAATGATGTGGTGTAAAAGTCAAACTTACAACAGTAAGTTAGACAATATTAGTAATACATCTGACTTTCTACCTTTTCTGATTATTTACAATGACACAGTATTCCTAAGATTAGATTCTATGATTGAGTTTGTCCATTAGAGGATCCTTATTTTGCCCATTATCAAAAATATGGTTTCTCTAACTTTTAGGATCAACCAATCACAGCGTCTGAAATGATGACTCATACCGAGCAACGGGGTCGGCCACGCCTCCTCACTAAGATAAGAGTTGTTGTCAATTCCTTGCTCAGAGTTCTCTTAGAATCTTTAGGAATACGGCCCCTGATGTTTAAGTTTATATGTCGCCTGAATGATTAAAAAAATGCTGTGATTATTTTGTTGTCCAGTGTTGTGTGTAGCGAGGTTTGTTACACCTTGCTGTTGTGAAAACATTGGTATGACTGCTTCTTGAAAGTTTAGAGGGTTTTTATTGCCCACTGTTTTGTTTTTGTCTGTGTTGATCTGGATGTTGAGTCTGCAATAAAGTTGTCTATCTATCTATATATTTTATTTTTTAAACACTGTCCTTACACTGTCACAAAAAACAATAAATATTTTCCAACACTTCTGTCATAATATTGCACACACACACACACACACACACACACACACACCACAAGATGCATTCAATTTGAGCCGCCCCTCCCTACTTCCTTATCGGTATGAATTTCATGTAAACATTGATTAACATTATTTCTGTACAATGCAATTTGTCATTTTCGTTTTTGATAGTTCCAATAAAGATTATGAAAAAGAAAAAACAATATTTAGACTTTACTAAGGACTTGTAAATATGCAACATAGACTGTAAAAATTAATGGACGTAGTCACGCCTTTCTCCGCCGTTCTAACAAATGGGCCAAAAAATTTTCTCTGCTGGAGCAATCCAAAATGGCCGCGAGTGGTCCCGCCCACAAGAAAATTGTGAAAAAACGCATCTGCGCATGCGTCAGCCGGCACAAGCTTCAATCATTTGAACGAGAGACTTCAAAAATTCACAGCAAGTAAACTAGAGTGGACCAAAAAAATTCACCCCCCTCAGCATTGACACACATGTGGAACGGAGCTTTGGGCCAAGAGCCAACTTTTGGTCCATCCTGTAAAGGTGTTTTACAGAGGTCTCTCCTTCATCGTCTCTGGGAATATATGAATAAGGCACACTTCTGTCTCTACTGTACAGGACACACACACACACACGCACACACACACACACACACACACACACATACTCGCTTAAGTCACTTTGGGGGTCGCAAACCTGCAACCCCTACTTAGGGGACCACCCTTTCTGAAACACATAGAGAGATTCTGGCAGGGCCATTTTGTCAATGTGACTGCTCATATACACAAAATCAACTCAGATTTTCCTTTTTCACAACTTTTGTCCCCTGAGTACAGAACCCTCACAATGGGGACAATGAATTTTAAAGTCACTTTTGAGGACAGCTACTATACACACACCCATAAATGTCATATTTGGGGTCGTAATTATACATAAACCCATAAATGTCATATTTGGGGTCTAAATTATACACGAACCCATAAATGTCATATTTGGGGTCGTTATTATACACAAACCCATAAATGTCATATTTGGGGTCTAAATTATACACAAACCCATAAATATCATATTTGGGGTCGTAATTATACACAAACCCATAAATGTCATATTTGGGGTCTAAATTATACACAAACCCATAAATGTCATATTTGGGGTCATCAATACATACAACAATTGTCTTACATATACCAAAGTGGTCTCCCTCGAAAAGGATTCTTTTGGATCTCAAGTGACTTCCTCATTAAATAAAGGTTAACAGTGATCATGTAACAGATTCAATTAGGACATAAATGCAGATTTCACTTTTGTCAACTTTAATATGTCACAAAACAAAAGCTCAAAGTAGGGTAAAATGGTTCCATGCATACCTCAAGGCTTTGAAGAAATACTGACAAGGAAAATTGTAAACAATTCAATAAAGGGTCAAACATAAACAGTGGTTAGTGCAGTATAAATTTTGGCACTGGTCAACTGGTACTGTGAAAAAATAACAAATAAATCATCAACAAATATTATCTAGCTTAAGAGAAAACATTCCTAAATCAAATAATGACCGAAAGAACAACATGGATACAAGCAGTCAAAAAATAAGATCCTCAGGATCTGCAGGTGTGGCTGCAGATTTTAAATCCAATCTGAGCAGGAGCGCAGAAGACCCAGGACACAGTGGGACTATGTGTCTCAGCTGGCCTGGGACCACCCCCGGATTCCCTCAGATTCTTTGTGGAGAGGGATGTCAGGGAATCTCTGCTTAGACTGCTGCCCCCATTAACTGACAATGGAATAAGCAAAAGAAAGATTACTTTCAATGATTGACACTGGTCCAGTGGTTTGGACATCACGTTAACAATTTTGCGCACCGGGTTCGATACCGACCACAGGCAATAAAATGATATTTTTTTTCTTTTTTAGTCTCCCGCACTAAAGTACACCTGAGACTTTTTAGTGCATTATGAACCAACTCTGACTCTGAGGAGCACAGGGACAGGCCTCTTGCTGATGCCCAGAGTCAGAACTAAACATGGGGAGGCAGTATTTCAGATGTATGCAGCTAAAATATGGAACAGTGTTCCTACAAATGTGAGACAGACTGTCGATAAAACTTTTGGGGACATGTACACACCCACATTCTGATGTGGTCTGATTGGGGGACCATCATTTGCAACTACACTAGATTACACTATTAACATAGACAATATGAGATAAAACTTTTGGGGACATGTACACACCCACATTCTGATGTGGTCTGATTGGGGACTATCATTTGCAACTACACTAGATTACACTATTAACATAGACAATATGAGATAAAACTTTTGGGGACATGTACACACCCACATTCTGATGTGGTCTGATTGGGGACTATCATTTGCAACTACACTAGTCAAAGTAATGTTTGACTTTTAGTATTGTGACAACACTACACCAGATAGGAGGGCATTCAAATACACCCAACATAATAGGGCTTCATGCAATAAATTCAGATCTTACCTCATTCTGAGCACTGGAACCAGTGGACTCACTATTACTGGCAGTAGATATCTGTAGAAGAGAATTGCAATGCCTTGTTAAAGATATGAACTCGTTTGGAACATGTGATCATTGTAAAAGGAGACTCTTACTTGAAGTTTGAGGTTGTCAGGATCACACATTGTGTGTCCAGTCATATCTGTGAGTTGCATCTAAAACATGGTAAAAACAGGATTTGAATTCATCAGCCACAGTAACAGGTATGGAATGGTTACTTCAGCAAGCAACGATGGCCTAGTGGTTTGTACATTGTGCTTACAATTTTGCACACCGGGTTCGATACCGACCACAGGCAATATAATGTTTTTTTTTTCTTTTTAGTGCATTATGAACCAACTCTGACTCTGAGGAGCACAGGGACAGGCCTCTTGCTGATGCCCAGAGTCAGAACTAAACATGGGGAGGCAGTATTTCAGATGTATGCAGCTAAAATATGGAACAGTGTTCCTACAAATGTGAGACAGGCTGTCGATAAAACTTTTGGGGACATGTACACACCCACATTCTGATGTGGTCTGATTGGGGACTATCATTTGCAACTACACTAGATTACACTATTAACATAGACAATATGAGATACAACTTTTGGGCACATGTACACACCCACATTCTGATGTGGTCTGATTGGGGACTATCATTTGCAACTACACTAGTCAAAGTAATGTTTGACTTTTAGTATTGTGACAACACTACACCAGATAGGAGGGCATTCAAATACACCCAACATTATAGGGCTTCATGCAATAAATTCAGATCTTACCTCATTCTGAGCACTGGAACCAGTGGACTCACTATTACTGGCAGTAGATATCTGTAGAAGAGAATTGCAATGCCTTGTTAAAGATATGAACTCGTTTGGAACATGTGATCATTGTAAAAGGAGACTCTTACTTGAAGTTTGAGGTTGTCAGGATCACACATTGTGTGTCCAGTCATATCTGATCTGTGAGTTGCATCTAAAACATGGTAAAAACAGGATTTGTATTCATCAGGCAACTTAGCCGGTCTGGAAAGCTTACTTTCAATGATTGACACTGGTCCAGTGGTTTGGACATCACGTTAACAATTTTGCGCACCGGGTTCGATACCGACCACAGGCAATAAAATGATATTTTTTTTCTTTTTTAGTCTCCCGCACTAAAGTACACCTGAGACTTTTTAGTGCATTATGAACCAACTCTGACTCTGAGGAGCACAGGGACAGGCCTCTTGCTGATGCCCAGAGTCAGAACTAAACATGGGGAGGCAGTATTTCAGATATATGCAGCTAAAATATGGAACAGTGTTCCTACAAATGTGAGACAGGCTGTCGATAAAACCTTTGGGGACATGTACACACCCACATTCTGATGTGGTCTGATTGGGGACTATCATTTGCAACTACACTAGATTACACTATTAACATAGACAATATGAGATAAAACTTTTGGGGACATGTACACACCCACATTCTGATGTGGTCTGATTGGGGACTATCATTTGCAACTACACTAGTCAAAGTAATGTTTGACTTTTAGTATTGTGACAACACTACATCAGATAGGAGGGCATTCAAATACACCCAACATTATTGGGCTTCATGCAATAAATTCAGATCTCCCCTCATTCTGAGCACTGGAACCAGTGGACTTACTATTACTGGCAGTAGATATCTGTAGAAGAGAATTGCAATGCCTTGTTAAAGATATGAACTCGTTTGGAACATGTGATCATTGTAAAAGGAGACTCTTACTTGAAGTTTGAGGTTGTCAGGATCACACATTGTGTGTCCAGTCATATCTGTGAGTTGCATCTAAAACATGGTAAAAACAGGATTTGAATTCATCAGCCACAGTAACAGGTATGGAATGGTTACTTCAGCAAGCAACGATGGCCTAGTGGTTTGTACATTGTGCTTACAATTTTGCACACCGGGTTCGATACTGACCACAGGCAAAATAATGATTTTTTTTTCTTTTTTAGTGCATTATGAACCAACTCTGACTCTGAGGAGCACAGGGACAGGCCTCTTGCTGATGCCCAGAGTCAGAACTAAACATGGGGAGGCAGTATTTCAGATGTATGCAGCTAAAATATGGAACAGTGTTCCTACAAATGTGAGACAGGCTGTCGATAAAACTTTTGGGGACATGTACACACCCACATTCTGAAGTGGTCTGATTGGGGACTATCATTTGCAACTACACTAGATTACACTATTAACATAGACAATATGAGATACAACTTTTGGGGACATGTACACACCCACATTCTGATGTGGTCTGATTGGGGACTATCATTTGCAACTACACTAGATTACACTATTAACATAGACAATATGAGATAAAACTTTTGGGGACATGTACACACCCACATTCTGATGTGGTCTGATTGGGGACTATCATTTGCAACTACACTAGATTACACTATTAACATAGACAATATGAGATAAAACTTTTGGGGACATGTACACACCCACATTCTGAAGTGGTCTGATTGGGGACTATCATTTGCAACTACACTAGTCAAAGTAATGTTTGACTTTTAGTATTGTGACAACACTACACCAGATAGGAGGGCATTCAAATACACCCAACATTATAGGGCTTCATGCAATAAATTCAGATCTTACCTCATTCTGAGCACTGGAACCAGTGGACTCACTATTACTGGCAGTAGATATCTGTAGAAGAGAATTGCAATGCCTTGTTAAAGATATGAACTCGTTTGGAACATGTGATCATTGTAAAAGGAGACTCTTACTTGAAGTTTGAGGTTGTCAGGATCACACATTGTGTGTCCAGTCATATCTGTGAGTTGCATCTAAAACATGGTAAAAACAGGATTTGTATTCATCAGCCACAGTAACAGGTATGGAATAGCTATTTCAGCAAGCAACGATGGCCTTTTGGTTTTGGATTTCAGATAGTCATGGTACACGATATTCTGTGGGTCTTGAAAATTCAGTAAAAATCATCAGAAACTGGCAATAATACCTACATTTTCCCTTTCATTAACAGATCTTGTTGGTTGTACCCAAAAGAAGAAGGTTGTGAGCAAGTCAAACAGATTGAAGTACATTTGGTATGAATAACAATGTGTCATTACATTTGATAATCTCGTTTAACTTCAATTGGAGTGGATTTGAAATAGAATGTGTAAAATGCGATAAATCTTGAGTTAACTCACCATTACTATGCGATTAAGCAACTAAAAAAAAAAATTGTTTGACAGCCCTAGTTTTAATGTTTCCCTTCCTGAAGTAACAGCAAATAAGTGAGCTCTTCACGCTATTCTAAGATCCATCCTACATTTCAATAACCAATAATTTTAATAATCTTACCACCAAAGAGTATCTCTCCATTTAAAATCAAACAGAAATACTCCCTCTGAATTCTTGAATTGAGGTTTATCTTTTCTGACAAGAGAGCCACAGTACTCAAGGAGAAAATCTCCTTTTTGAAATCCATCCACAGCGAACACCCCCCGGCCTGTAAAACAGCATAAAAAGTGTAGGCCTCTATATCAAATTTAAAAAAAAACAATATAAATGTATGTATACCTTTGTATGAATTAATAAACTGTTGTTTCAGTCCAGCCTTGTCACTTTTTAATTTGACATATTCCACTGCTTCCTGTTGAGGACTAATTCGTTTTCTCCTCTTTGCTGGCAATACTATTCCTTTTATTCTAGAAAGAAATGTCATGTTATTATGTATTTAGAGCGACCAATTAAAATGCACCGGTACTGTGCTATGAAAATAATGAATACATAGTGAGGCTATTGCCATGTTCCTAGCTTAAGAGTACATGGTCACAAGTGAGCTATATTTTTCAAACTAAGAATTTAAATCTGATAAAGTTGTTTGGGGACATTACAGTTGCTATATATCCAACACATTATATTTTAGTCAATTTAGCAACACCAAAATATCTGTAATTTTGGCATCAAAACAGAGACATGATGTTTTCAATCAAATGGATGGTTTACAGTACCACAAAACAAATCATTTTGGTAACATGTATCATTAAAATCTATGAAAATAGTGAACATTGACCGATTTCTTACCTTGAAAGTGTGGCTGTTGCAGACAGAGTGTTTCGAAAATTAATGCCGTGATGGGAAGTGAACCGTGTACTTTCCGCGCGAAAGGGAGCGCATTTTCCCGCGTTCATTTCTGGCGCTCCCTTCCCTTTTGGGCGACTTTCAATAATCAGTCTAAATGAATCCATCTCTAGTAAAGTCTACTATCCATGAGAGGGGTTAGTGTAACAGAGCTACATACATTAATTCTGTGTTCTTAATCATTCGCCAAGGTTTTACACAAAAAACTCAATTTCCCATAAGCCTTTGCACACGGAAGTCAGCTAATAGCGTTTGTGGTTGTGGAGGTCAGAAACCTAGTATTATTAATCGAAAATATATATGTATAATACATGCATGGATGTAACGAGGTTTGGTGGATAAAACCCTTTTCTAATTATCTAAAATGCTTATTTATTGATGGTTCCTGAATGTTGTGCCCCTCGACCCATAGGTGACATTACCACGAGACATCGGTAAGTGTTGCTATGTTATTGAATGGTACGTGCTTTACTTAACTCAGTGCTACCCAAAGTGGGGAATGGGGCGCAGAGCAATTGCAGGGCGGGCGCGGGACGAATGAATGAATGAACGAACGAAAATACATGCAGTTGGCGAAATGACATTAACATTGTCCGCTTTCCCAGAGCAACTAAAGATTTGGGACGGACTATAGTGCGCTGTTTTGAACGGCATCAGTCGTTCTAACCCCGGGAACAACTGCGGTGTATTGTGTTGACAACTGCTCCGCGAACGCACATCTGAGCGCGGACCATAGACGTGTTCAAGACCATCCCCTGCGTCTACCCCCGCTTCTCCCCCCGCTTCTCCCATGCGTCTCTCCCCGCTTCTCCCATGCGTCTCTCCCGCGTCTCCTCGTCTTCCCGCGTCTCCCCGCGTCTCCCCTGCGTCTTCCCGCGTCTCCCCTGCGTCTTCCCGCGTCTCCCCTGTGTCCCTACTGCGTCTCCCCCCTCTCCTGTTTCCAACCGAAGCTCAACCAAAACTCACGAAATTAAAGCTTGGGTACCTAAATTTTTCTTCGCATAAATAATTCATTGGTTATGCGCAAAAGTCAAATGTTGTGAACAAATCAAATAGAACACACACAACAGGCAATCTTGTTTTTTTATTTAGCATACTTATGAGTCATCATTTTACTCAAAAAAACGCTTGTGTACCAAAGTTCCAGAATCACTGACTAACCCATACTACAGGTGTTACGTCGGTTTCGAAATACACTGCCTCAGCTGTGTGATGTAATCATGGATCTATTATAATAACGGATGTAATGCAAATCCGCAGGTTCATGGTCTCATGGCAGCCGAAGCAAACCAGACTTTACGTCTGCAATCTTAAGTCATCTAAAGTGATTTATTCTTGAAGTTTAGATTCAAACTAATTAAGGCACAGATGTCACTCTTAATGCAATTTGAGGCAATATGTTAATAAAGAGCAGTTACAGACAAGACGCGTTTGTGTAATTAAGTCATTTTTAGAGTAATTATACGTTGTTGAAGCATATACACAAAACCTTTTGAAATGTTTATTTCAAAAGGCTATAACTTAAAAGTGACAAGAGATAAAGACTTTCTGTAAATTACAGAATTATTAAGGATGGCCAAAAGTTTATGTAGGGAATAAGTGCACCCATCTAATTAGCATATTATGACATCATATGGCGTTGGAAATTGTGGATTTTAGAATTTTCATAAAATGTTTCTCCCCTGCCCTCTCTCGTCTCCCCCGCTCTCACTCTCATCCCCACGCTCTCTCTCATCTCCCCCGTTCTATCTCTCATCTCCCCTGCGCTCTCTCTCTCGTCTCCTCTGCTCTCTCTCTCATCTCCCCCGCTCTCTCTCTCATCTCCCCTGCTCTCTCTCTCGTCTCCCCCACTCTCTCTCTCGTCTCCCCCACTCTCTCTCTCGTCTCCCCCGCTCTCTCTCTCGTCTCCCCCGTTCTCTCCCTCATCTCCCCTGCTCTCTCTCTCGTCTCCCCCGTTCTCTCTCTCATCTCCCCCGCTCTCTCTCTCATCTCCCCGTTCTCTCTCTCATCTCCCCTGCTCTCTCTCTCGTCTCCCCCACTCTCTCTCTCGTCTCCCCCGCTCTCTCTCTTGTTCTCCCCCACTCTCTCTCTCGTCTCCCCCGCTCTCTCTCTCGTCTCCCCCGTTCTCTCTCTCATCTCCCCCACAATATTTTAGCGGAGATTTTAGCAGAGGCTGGAGTCGCGGCGTGGTGCCCCGACGTGACTTCCAGGCTTGTTCTCCGCAAATCTAACCTGTCTCCGAACCTCCCAATGACAGCCCTGACTCTGAGAAACACTGTTCCCACTGACTTTGTGCAAAGTGTCTAAAGTTAGTGCGGTAAAACACTTGCACACTTCCTTCGCTTCGCTATTCTGCACTGGTTCAACGCGGTCTTGCTCGAATGAATGCCTCCACCAGACTGTATTAAAAATGACCACCTTCGCCACACTCTGCTCTTCTTCTGTGGAGTTTTACGGCAGTGTGATGCAGTGTTGTGTAGTTCTGTGGTGCATGTACGTCCGTCCGCTCAACCACAGAACTACAAGAATGCGCCCAACCCCCGCACTCGGTGACGTATTAACTGCGCGACACAACGAATCGATAACCAAATTCGTTGCCAACGCTTTTAATAATCGATTTTTATCGATATTATCAATTCGTTGTTGCAGCCCTACTTTACAGCCTTGATTAATTTTACATATTGGGCCGTTAGCTGGCACCTTGACTTGTGCTTCTTTGTGGCTGCATGATCTTTGAGATCTTTTAAATGTGCACAAGTATCAGTGATACAAACTTGGCAGTGCGCTTTCCCTTCTTCTGCACCACGTGAAATCCATGCCCTTAAAAATGCAGTCAGTGATTTTTTTTTATATTGTGGGAAAACGTCCCTAAACCCTAAAAGTAGTCAAGCTATCATGTGTTTTCAAATAGTAATGGAATTGACCAGATGCCTACAGTCTCCAAAAATGTATTAAAAATATTTTGGAGTGGATCGATAAAAATAAACGAGTGGAGAGTGTTGTTTCGAGTTGGTGCTACGGCTAAGCTATCAAAATCACTTAATGAACCTTCAAGTCTGGATCTTTTTTCGACTTGATTCTGTTTTTTTCCTTTATTTTGCCTACTTTGACATTTTGACAGCTAATTTTTCAAAAACCTGCGTTTTGTCTGAGTGGCAGGAGGGAACGTGCATGCGTATGTGACGCATATACTGTAAATATTGTAACCTCAGCTAAAGGTAGTGAGTGTGTGATGTGAGGTTAAAGAGGGCAAGTTATTTCTGCCCGGAGAGAGGAAGAGGGATCCAAACAAGGGATCAAGTGCCGATGTTTTGGCTACAAAAACACACTGAACTGATCTGAAACCAGCCCAATTTTTAGCCATCCGCCCAAACCCATTTTTGCCTGCTAAATAGATCGCAAAACCGCACAATTGGGCGTAAAACCGACCCATCTGGCAACCCTGAAGACAGCACAGCGATATCTTATTACTTTGTAAAACATTACTACTATGGGGTACTCAAATGAAATGTTATACTTATGCATGCATGTTATTATCCAGACCAGGATTGCTGAAGCTGTATGACGTCTGGGAGAGGCCCGTTGATATTCTCTGGATTTCTTAAATACTCATTTTGACTTCTGATTCATCTCATGGTGCGGTAGGAGGCCTTGCTGCCACTCACTTCACTGTTTCTACCACCTCAAATGTACTGGACGGCACTACCACCTCAAATGTACTGGACGGCACTGTGAGTCCTGCGTTGAACAGTTTTTTGAGGAATTCTTAATGCATTTATGGAAAAAAACAGTTGCGCTGTTGGCTGTACTGTATGTGGACTACTTTCAATGCTACTGTAGTGGGCCTTTTTTGATTCAAGTGGTTTTTCAACTGTTGTGGATATTGCATTTATTTTGTGAATATCTAAATAACTATACTAAACTCACTTGGTAGCACGCATTTGTGTTCTGGTGCCTGTAACGTATCTTGAATATAAAATAAGTTACATTTGGGTTAGGTTGAAGTTATTCTGGATTATTATACATTGTTTTCCTATGGAGATGATGGTATTTCATGTGGAGCAGTCAGACCTGTCTTGTTTCATTGCAACCATTGTTACCATGTAGACTACTCTGTGAAGTATTATATATTCAATATAGTATAGTATTGTTGATAATTGGTGTTATCTAAGCAACTTAAGGTACAAATAAACATCCAATCATCAAGTAGTATTTTGGCACTGGCTAGTTCAGTGCTA